TCGAATCTCGAGGGGTGTCGATGGCAGAACATGACTGACAGCGCAGAATTGTATCGTCGGCGCTGCGTGTGAAAGCTTTACTAGCGAACATAAATTGTTGACGGTCGACCCCCCGATAACGTATTAGACATCACCATTCGATTCTTACCAAGTAGCAATACGATCAATCTATTGGCGGCATCTTTTAAGAATATTTAGGTCGAGTTGTTCAACACCATTAATATGAAATTCGGGACTTGTATAGTTCCAAGCATGTGATCCTCATATCAAGTCATATTGATCTCTGGACTGGCCCCTGATACGCTCGAAAGCCTATGGATCGCAAAAGCATCGATTTTAGTATGCGATATAATGTAACAGAAAGCGTAAGGAATGGATGCAGCCAAATTAAAATAGATTTCTGATAAAAAAAATTCTGCGAGTAACCCGCTTGATGAGACCAACAACTATTCTTGAAGAATTTTCATAATATCAAATTTTTAGTCGATGTACTAGGAGAAGCTGACCACCTCCCTCGGCAATCTTGTTTCGTTCGTCCGCCGATATCTTATTTTTACAACTATGCTCAATAACTATAACACACTTTAATATTATAGCGCATTGAATGTCATACGGTTCACGTATTTATCCGATTGTCAGTACTATATCGCTTACAAAGGATAACTCTCTTTGTAATGTATTAGGCGGATAAGGACCTATCGTAACCATGCATGGTGTGAAAGGTAAAATACGCTGCGATAAGGCGTGTCCATTTGCTTCTTGGCACGCGAAAACTTACAATCAACTGGTCTCGCTAAGTCAGTGTCCTAGGAGTGTCTATAGGGTGTTCAAGCCATATATAAAGGAAATGTAACCACACCAGATTTTCATTGACCACTCCTACCCCTTTATATTACCGTATTGCAAATACTTTCCATTGTTTTGATTGAATGGCTCAGTGTAGCCATTCGCATTGCTGCCGGTGATCACTGCTGTCATGTAGATCGACCTGGACTAGTCACTTGACTGCATTGTGAACAACGACGAGAAGGAGTGCGCGTCAATACTGGGGTCGAACCCCTTTAAATCGATACGAAGTAAAATACAGTGTTCAGCGGATGCAGAATGCCAATTCGTGAAACCCTATCGAGGAAATCTCAGTCTGGCTCTTTTCAGACGCCACGTCGAGCGAAGACCATCATTAAATTGCACGCTAGTCTGGCTTTTATCAAATAAAAAGCTATTACGCCAATTGACGTAACTCTTTATAGACCTCTGCGTCTGGCCTAACGTCAATTTCGAATATATTATTGTTGGATGTCTTTGTCATAGTGTCCATACTGAATAATCGCTGCAAGCCTAACCTGTATTAGAATCGATCGTATAAAAGTTTTGACTTATCGAGCCATTACTAGGCCAGATGAAGTAGCTTAATAATAAGTTACCATTCGTCGCCAACTTTAAAAAATGCATAGCTTATTTAAATTTCGTATTTTATCATTTGGAAATGAAATTGTAAATTACTCCTGAGACTGGAAAATATTCTTGATCCGACCAATCATAAGGCGTAAATCAAATAGATTACGGTATAATATTGGTGTGGGGGGGCTATCAAAAACCTGTGGGGTGGTTATCGCATCCCTATATATACATATAAGTTGTATCTCTATATTAGAAATGCTGCGTAAGACGAAGTATAAGACGCTATTTCGGCTTGATATAAGTTATATATCGATAAAGCAAACGCTGCTTATACATCATCTTCTTGCAGGAGATCGCGTAAATTCGTTCCACCGACACTACATCTTATCTTAATCCGGAGATTCTGATGTAAAAAAACTTGCACCTTCTATAAGATGTTATATTACTAAATAAAACAAATCCCTACTGCACCCAAATTATTCCAAATGTCCATCTCGCCAAGAAGGGAGTTTGATACGACCTTGCTTATTCTGATCACGTCGTTTTAATACTCTACTTCTCTGTGTTGGCAAAATCTTGGTACATTAGCTGCAGACACAATCATGCTTGGGAGTTTTCAATATCATGCGTGTGATCTTTCAATCTAATTTAGTCTGATATATATAGAAAAATCATTTGACCAGAAACGTTTGGATTATCGTAATCAAGATAATTGATCCGACACAGACAGCTTATTTCATGTAGTGGTGCAACTATGGTTTACGGTCATGCACTTATACACAGAAGACAGCCATATATCCAAATCTTGTGCACGGCTTACGACAGTAGATTTAACGCTGATTAATTTTGTTTTAATGACGTCGAAGACAAATCCCTTATCTCTATCATTTTCGAATATACTGACTAACATGCATGACTCACTAAACACTTTTTGTCGCGAGGCTGCAGCTGACGCCGTTAACGTATCCAGACGGTGTTATGATATCGTGACTACAACAAGATGGCGTGTCTGTTGTAAGTGAAAGGATGATTGGTAGCGACAATCAAAAGTCAACGTACGCCAGGGCGTTACATAGATTGTTCTATAGCATTCTATGTGTTGAGTTAGGCACAATAAGATATATATATTCTGTAGTTCTCACTTTTGCGGTGACAATCGACTGACAAGGACATCGGCGGAAGGCTACGTCGCGTCTGGCGCGCGACTTGATACAAACTCTTTATTTGACTTAATGTTCATCTTAAACCGAATAACGTGAACAAAATGGTCATGAGCACTAAGTTTTCTTGAACTGCTATATGTGTGCGATGTTGTAGACGGTATCGAAGAATATACACTTCCTCATTAATACCGTTAAATTCTGGTTAGAAACGTTAATGAAATTCAATTTGATTTGGGTGGCCGTCCAATGACTACAAATGCCGCATCATCTCATCCAACACGTCGTGCAGATTAGATCTGGAGTCCGAGGCCAGGTACACTAATACCATTAAACTGTATATAGCTACACTTGATTGAACAGATATTAAAATCAAATAGCAGCTCCCTTGCGTGCCCAAATATACCTGACTTCTAGACTTGTGTGAATCGGCTCTTTAGTGCGGTGCTACTGTACCAAATCGTCCCTTTCAAGCTATTAAATAATACAAACATATCAAATATAGAAACCAGAAGACAGCTTTTTGGATAGCAACGTGTTCGCCGGTATGTTTTATTTTTGGCAAAATTTCTTATACTCAATGGGCAACCATAAGCTTTTGGATGTAATTGTTATTGCACGCGATGATTCGAATGACAATTCTGAACGGACTATAAGTGGGAAATGTATGTAGACCAGCAGTATCATGCATTGGAGCAGCTTTCTCGCAAAAATCGGGTTGGATCGTCCTTTGACACTGGCAGCACTCGCGATCGTTACAGTCACCTTAATAGGCTCAACATTCACCATGCGCCTCAAAAAATTTGTCTGGCAGCAGAGGTAGTTATGGAACAAGATGTGTCCATCAACCGTCAATAAATATAAAGGGTCTAATATTGCTTGGTTCAAACGGCCACGCGAGTGCCCGTTCGAATAAACGATCGAAAGGAGAGAACATCATCAAAAAAATATCGACTTGATTTTGCTTTGCTTTTGCAGCATAGCATCCGACGCCCTCCGCTGTCTTGTCGTATTAGACCGCTCGATCGACCCGTTCATTGGAGGCATGCCATCTTCGAAGCGACACCGCTTGTCGTAAGTATGGCACCTATTCTCATACAGACCGAGTGCTGAATGCGCAGACCATCGAACCAGATTGTGTGGCAGACCAGCCGAATTGACATGTGATCCGAAATCGGTAGATCATGAAAAAAACATCTGGCAGGTAATTTACTCCCTATCCGTTTCAGAGCGGACATTCTCTGCATAAAGTTGGACAGTAGGGTACCACATTGTTGACTAATGGATGACGCGCAATGGTGGGCGGCTGGGCTCGCCATCCGCACATTCGTGTCCACATGGTACGTCGGAGATGATAGCAACGAGCAGAAGCGGGGCATCTACCTTTCGATGCTTACGTTTGTATGTGTACTCACAGCAGGTGAGCTTCCACTGCACAAGGGAGAGAACGCAGTGGTGCACGACGAAAAGCCATTCGTACAACATTCAGGTGGAAATGTATGTCCTCATTCCGCGTAGGTGACAGCTGCCTGATCTCCCCTGCATAATTTCGTGCGATCGAGATCGCTGCTGCGGCGCACGGTTGCGACGCCATCATGAGTCTGAGCAATATCTCCTGGCGCAGATCGGTGGTAGGTGTCGAGAGCGGGTACAAACAGAAAGGGACGGGCTCCGACGTGCAATCGATCACGTAAAAGGCGACATTTCGTGCACCATCATTCGCTTACCGCGTCCGGCATCGTGGCACGCCTAGTACTAACACAATCAGTTGACGATCGTCGAACTTGCTCAGGGTCCAGCACACACCACTACATTTCAGTTGAGCAGCGTGCACCGACCGTCTACAACGAGCGCGGAGGGTATGTAAGAAATTTGTGTCGCAGCCTTGTGAATACAACGTCGGTCCCTCGACGAAAGCACAAGACGACGGTCTTGTTGCGTACCAACAGCCAGGTCCGCACGAGTGTACAAGCAGACGAAGCTTTATACGACAGCGGGTGCGCGGCCTTGGCTACCACAAGCTTTCGGAGCGAAGTCCGGCTGTTTCATTCGTACAAAGCACCTGGCGCATTCGCCAGCGCGACGAGGAATTGAGCTTCATAGCCGGTTCTTTTCAACGTGACCGTCCGTCTTCGCTCTTCGATCCGACGATGTGCATAGTATAGCGCTTTCACACAAGTGTGCCTTTTCGATCGACCACCTGACGCTTGAGCCAGGCAAACTCATCCAGAGGTAACCTTTTCTACACAGCGCCCACGGGGTGTCGTCCATGACACCCTTGCCGTGGTCGACACCTTGTGAGTGCTGTGTAGAGTAAGTGTACGCGCGTCAGGCACGTATGTGTATTTCGTGCGGCCCCAGGAAGCGGCATGGACGACTCACTTCTCAATTGCCCTCGTCGAGCACAACCACCTGATCTCACGACCGCCGACATCGCCGATGAAACTTCTTCCCACTGCACTCACTGCCCTCGTTCTCGCTGTTGGCGCAGCTGACGGCTCGCTCACTATACGCACGACTGCTCAGGGTCAAACCCAACGCATGAGCAACGCGGTGCAACAGAGTCCCGTGCAGGAGCAACAGAGTCCCGTGCAGGAGCAACAGAGTCCCGTGCAGGAGCAACAGAGTCTGGTGCAGAAGCAACAGTCGAGTAGTCCTATCAGCAGCAATGCCTGCATCCTCACAGGCATGTACAAGAAAGGGACTGACATTTCGGCGTGCAGCTCCATCACCGTCGATTCGCTCCGTGTACCGCCTGGTGTGACGCTGGACCTGACGAAGACGAAGAGAGGTGCCGTCATTGAGTTCATAGGCACCACGACGTTCGGAACGAAAATGTGGGCCGGTCCGCTCGTTATGGTCAGCGGAACGGATCTCACCGTGAAGGGATCGGGCGTCCTCGACGGACAAGGACCTTGGTACTGGAAATACGGTCCGTCCATCTTGCGCCCCGTCTTCTTCCGTCTCCAAAGCGTCATCAGCTCGAAAGTGTCCGGGTTCACGGTCAAGAACATGCCCTTCCGTACGTTCAGCCTCGTCACGTGCAAGAACACGATTCTCTCTGGTCTCACGATCGACTCGAGAGCGGGCAATGGCATCGCCAAGAACACAGATGGGTTCAACTTGTCTAAGAACGACGGGGTCACGATCACCGGCAACACGATCTACAACCAGGACGACTGTCTTGCTATGCAGTCGAGCATCAACACCGTCTTTAGCAACAACTACTGCTGCAATACGCACGGTATTTCCATCGGGTCTCTTGGTGGCAACGCTGTCGACGCATCTACCACGGTGCGGGGCCTAACAATCTCGGGCAACACGATCGTCAACAGCGTCAACGGTTTCCGCATTAAGACCATCATTGGTCTCAAGGGACTCATCGCTGACGTCAAGTTCATCAACAATAAGGTTCAGAACGTAAGAAACGCGGTCTCTCTCCACGCGAACTACGACAGGGGATTGGGCAGGTACAGGGGTCCGCCCACGAGTCAGGTGCAGATCACTCGTTTAATGGTCTCCGGTCTCACTGGCACGGCGGAGAAAGTGTACGATATCCAAGTCAACCCGAAGGTGATATCGGATTGGACCTTCGAGGCCATTGATGTGCGCGCGTCGATGAAGAGTACGATTGAAGGCTTGCCCAAAGGCGTGGCCGTTTGATCGCCCGCAGGTGCGGCAACTTGCTTCGGGAGTAGGCATCCTCAGGGGAAGCGGAGTGTAGTGTGGGTGCGTGCGTGCGTGTCAATAATGTGAATGTAATCATTTTCGATGTCTGCGTGGCTTGTTCGATTCCGGCATGTGATCCCGTAGTGTGCCTGCTCAAGGGTCAGGTTCGCAAAGAATGGATCTTGAAACCATAGGGCCATACACGCTCGGTATTAAGGTGGACAGTAGGGTACCTCATTGTTGTCTAATGGATGACGCGCAATGGTGGGCGGCTGGGCTCGCCATTCGCACATTCGTGTCCACATGGTACGTCGGAGATGATAGCAACGAGCAGAAGCGGGGCATCTACCTTTCGATGCTTGCGTTCGTATGTGTACTCACAGCAGGTGAGCTTCCACTGCACAAGGGAGAGAACGCAGTGGTGCACGACGAAAAGCCATTCGTACAACATTCAGGTGGAAATGTATGTCCTCATTCCGCGTAGGTGACAGCTGCCTGATCTCCCCTGCATAATTTCGTGCGATCGAGATCGCTGCTGCGGCGCGCGATTGCGACGCCATCATGAGTCTGAGCAATATCTCCTGGCGCAGATCGGTGGTAGGTGTCGAGAGTGGGTACAAACAGAAAGGGACGGGCTCCGACGTGCAATCGATCACGTAAAAGGCGACATTTCGTGCACCATCATTTGCTTACCGCGTCCGGCATCGTGGCACGCCTAGTACTAACACAATCAGTTGACGATCGTCGAACTTGCTCAGGGTCCAGCACACACCACTACATTTCAGTTGAGCAGCGTGCACCGACCGTCTACAACGAGCGCGGAGGGTATGTAAGACATTTGTGTCGCAGCCTTGTGAATACAACGTCGGTCCCTCGACGAAAGCACAAGACGACGGTCTTGTTGCGTACCAACAGCCAGGTCCGCACGAGTGTACAAGCAGACGAAGCTTTATACGACAGCGGGTGCGCGGCCTTGGCTACCACAAGCTTTCGGAGCGAAGTCCGGCTGTTTCATTCGTACAAAGCACCTGGCGCATTCGCCAGCGCGACGAGGAATTGAGCTTCATAGCCGGTTCTTTTCAACGTGACCGTCCGTCTTCGCTCTTCGATCCGACGATGTGCATAGTATAGCGCTTTCACACAAGTGTGCCTTTTCGATCGACCACCTGACGCTTGAGCCAGGCAAACTCATCCAGAGGTAACCTTTTCTACACAGCGCCCACGGGGTGTCGTCCATGACACCCTTGCCGTGGTCGACACCTTGTGAGTGCTGTGTAGAGTAAGTGTACGCGCGTCAGGCACGTATGTGTATTTCGTGCGGCCCCAGGAAGCGGCATGGACGACTCACTTCTCAATTGCCCTCGTCGAGCACAACCACCTGATCTCACGACCGCCGACATCGCCGATGAAACTTCTTCCCACTGCACTCACTGCCCTCGTTCTCGCTGTTGGCGCAGCTGACGGCTCGCTCACTATACGCACGACTGCTCAGGGTCAAACCCAACGCATGAGCAACGCGGTGCAACAGAGTCCCGTGCAGGAGCAACAGAGTCCCGTGCAGGAGCAACAGAGTCCCGTGCAGGAGCAACAGAGTCTGGTGCAGAAGCAACAGTCGAGTAGTCCTATCAGCAGCAATGCCTGCATCCTCACAGGCATGTACAAGAAAGGGACTGACATTTCGGCGTGCAGCTCCATCACCGTCGATTCGCTCCGTGTACCGCCTGGTGTGACGCTGGACCTGACGAAGACGAAGAGAGGTGCCGTCATTGAGTTCATAGGCACCACGACGTTCGGAACGAAAATGTGGGCCGGTCCGCTCGTTATGGTCAGCGGAACGGATCTCACCGTGAAGGGATCGGGCGTCCTCGACGGACAAGGACCTTGGTACTGGAAATACGGTCCGTCCATCTTGCGCCCCGTCTTCTTCCGTCTCCAAAGCGTCATCAGCTCGAAAGTGTCCGGGTTCACGGTCAAGAACATGCCCTTCCGTACGTTCAGCCTCGTCACGTGCAAGAACACGATTCTCTCTGGTCTCACGATCGACTCGAGAGCGGGCAATGGCATCGCCAAGAACACAGATGGGTTCAACTTGTCTAAGAACGACGGGGTCACGATCACCGGCAACACGATCTACAACCAGGACGACTGTCTTGCTATGCAGTCGAGCATCAACACCGTCTTTAGCAACAACTACTGCTGCAATACGCACGGTATTTCCATCGGGTCTCTTGGTGGCAACGCTGTCGACGCATCTACCACGGTGCGGGGCCTAACAATCTCGGGCAACACGATCGTCAACAGCGTCAACGGTTTCCGCATTAAGACCATCATTGGTCTCAAGGGACTCATCGCTGACGTCAAGTTCATCAACAATAAGGTTCAGAACGTAAGAAACGCGGTCTCTCTCCACGCGAACTACGACAGGGGATTGGGCAGGTACAGGGGTCCGCCCACGAGTCAGGTGCAGATCACTCGTTTAATGGTCTCCGGTCTCACTGGCACGGCGGAGAAAGTGTACGATATCCAAGTCAACCCGAAGGTGATATCGGATTGGACCTTCGAGGCCATTGATGTGCGCGCGTCGATGAAGAGTACGATTGAAGGCTTGCCCAAAGGCGTGGCCGTTTGATCGCCCGCAGGTGCGGCAACTTGCTTCGGGAGTAGGCATCCTCAGGGGAAGCGGAGTGTAGTGTGGGTGCGTGCGTGCGTGTCAATAATGTGAATGTAATCATTTTCGATGTCTGCGTGGCTTGTTCGATTCCGGCATGTGATCCCGTAGTGTGCCTGCTCAAGGGTCAGGTTCGCAAAGAATGGATCTTGAAACCATAGGGCCATACACGCTCGGTATTAAGGTGGACAGTAGGGTACCTCATTGTTGTCTAATGGATGACGCGCAATGGTGGGCGGCTGGGCTCGCCATTCGCACATTCGTGTCCACATGGTACGTCGGAGATGATAGCAACGAGCAGAAGCGGGGCATCTACCTTTCGATGCTTGCGTTCGTATGTGTACTCACAGCAGGTGAGCTTCCACTGCACAAGGGAGAGAACGCAGTGGTGCACGACGAAAAGCCATTCGTACAACATTCAGGTGGAAATGTATGTCCTCATTCCGCGTAGGTGACAGCTGCCTGATCTCCCCTGCATAATTTCGTGCGATCGAGATCGCTGCTGCGGCGCGCGATTGCGACGCCATCATGAGTCTGAGCAATATCTCCTGGCGCAGATCGGTGGTAGGTGTCGAGAGTGGGTACAAACAGAAAGGGACGGGCTCCGACGTGCAATCGATCACGTAAAAGGCGACATTTCGTGCACCATCATTTGCTTACCGCGTCCGGCATCGTGGCACGCCTAGTACTAACACAATCAGTTGACGATCGTCGAACTTGCTCAGGGTCCAGCACACACCACTACATTTCAGTTGAGCAGCGTGCACCGACCGTCTACAACGAGCGCGGAGGGTATGTAAGAAATTTGTGTCGCAGCCTTGTGAATACAACGTCGGTCCCTCGACGAAAGCACAAGACGACGGTCTTGTTGCGTACCAACAGCCAGGTCCGCACGAGTGTACAAGCAGACGAAGCTTTATACGACAGCGGGTGCGCGGCCTTGGCTACCACAAGCTTTCGGAGCGAAGTCCGGCTGTTTCATTCGTACAAAGCACCTGGCGCATTCGCCAGCGCGACGAGGAATTGAGCTTCATAGCCGGTTCTTTTCAACGTGACCGTCCGTCTTCGCTCTTCGATCCGACGATGTGCATAGTATAGCGCTTTCACACAAGTGTGCCTTTTCGATCGACCACCTGACGCTTGAGCCAGGCAAACTCATCCAGAGGTAACCTTTTCTACACAGCGCCCACGGGGTGTCGTCCATGACACCCTTGCCGTGGTCGACACCTTGTGAGTGCTGTGTAGAGTAAGTGTACGCGCGTCAGGCACGTATGTGTATTTCGTGCGGCCCCAGGAAGCGGCATGGACGACTCACTTCTCAATTGCCCTCGTCGAGCACAACCACCTGATCTCACGACCGCCGACATCGCCGATGAAACTTCTTCCCACTGCACTCACTGCCCTCGTTCTCGCTGTTGGCGCAGCTGACGGCTCGCTCACTATACGCACGACTGCTCAGGGTCAAACCCAACGCATGAGCAACGCGGTGCAACAGAGTCCCGTGCAGGAGCAACAGAGTCCCGTGCAGGAGCAACAGAGTCCCGTGCAGGAGCAACAGAGTCTGGTGCAGAAGCAACAGTCGAGTAGTCCTATCAGCAGCAATGCCTGCATCCTCACAGGCATGTACAAGAAAGGGACTGACATTTCGGCGTGCAGCTCCATCACCGTCGATTCGCTCCGTGTACCGCCTGGTGTGACGCTGGACCTGACGAAGACGAAGAGAGGTGCCGTCATTGAGTTCATAGGCACCACGACGTTCGGAACGAAAATGTGGGCCGGTCCGCTCGTTATGGTCAGCGGAACGGATCTCACCGTGAAGGGATCGGGCGTCCTCGACGGACAAGGACCTTGGTACTGGAAATACGGTCCGTCCATCTTGCGCCCCGTCTTCTTCCGTCTCCAAAGCGTCATCAGCTCGAAAGTGTCCGGGTTCACGGTCAAGAACATGCCCTTCCGTACGTTCAGCCTCGTCACGTGCAAGAACACGATTCTCTCTGGTCTCACGATCGACTCGAGAGCGGGCAATGGCATCGCCAAGAACACAGATGGGTTCAACTTGTCTAAGAACGACGGGGTCACGATCACCGGCAACACGATCTACAACCAGGACGACTGTCTTGCTATGCAGTCGAGCATCAACACCGTCTTTAGCAACAACTACTGCTGCAATACGCACGGTATTTCCATCGGGTCTCTTGGTGGCAACGCTGTCGACGCATCTACCACGGTGCGGGGCCTAACAATCTCGGGCAACACGATCGTCAACAGCGTCAACGGTTTCCGCATTAAGACCATCATTGGTCTCAAGGGACTCATCGCTGACGTC